CGCTTAAATAGTTGGAATCAACGTTCACCCGGCTAAAAAATTCGATTTTGGCGAAGAATCCAAGATCTGACACTTTGACCCTTGTGACCCTTGGACCGACTTTCCCCCCGGAAAAATCCATGATCCAACACTTTGGCCTCCGGTGAAAAAATTTTTTTTTCATTTTTCACTTTTTCCACATACTTTTGATAATTCTGAATAGCCCGTCGCTTAAATAGTTGGAATCAACACTCACCCGACTAAAAAATTCGATTTTGGTGAAAGTCGACTTTCCCTCTGGAAAAACAGAAAATCTGACTCTTTGTCTCGGGGTGAAAAAAAAAAATTTATTACGACTTTTGTCGCGCCTTCGGGTTTCATTGGCATCAGAATTGTTAGAAAATACAGAATCAACTTTCACTTGGCGAAAAAATTCAATTTTGGCGAAAACCGACTTTCGCCCTTAACCCACGTGAAAATGAAATTTTTTTTTTCCCCTTTTCTGTCACCTCCGAGGGTTTCATTGGCATCAACGTTCACTATTTTTTATTTAAACACCGCCTGCAAACGGGGAGATGAGAGTGGCTAAAATATATTCTGCAACCCTGTCTCCTCGTTGGCTACAAATTTCAACCCTCCGCATACATGCGTTCCCCTTCACCCGCTCGTAAAATTAGGCGTTCTCGGTAGCATCGAGGAGGACTTCTCAGGACCGAATAGAACTGAGGATTCGAGAGGTCTCTGGAAAAGTACGTCGCAGAACTGATTACGACTTACCAGGTCCATCTAGGTCTGGAGAGATCTCGAAAGACCTGTGTACGTCCAATCAGAACCAAATCCTCGACTCGGGCTGTTAGGTAATAATTGCATGTATGCATGTCAAAAAATGAATGAGAGATATTGGACGTGAAAAAATTACACTTTAAAGTGTCAATATAGAGCTTGTATCTGACAATACTTGTAGCGAATCATGCCATTCGAGAGCAGAAAAGAACTTGGCTTTCCAATAAAACAAGTTTTATTTCTGTTCAACCTGTATTTTTCAAGATACAACTTTTTCTTGCACCGTACAATTTTAAGAATCCAGGAAATGTGGATAGAATCATATATATCCATATTATTTTTATATAAATGTTACAATCACATACTTCTCTCCAAATATTTCGCGATTTTTCATCATATGTAAAGGAAACAAGCATGTCAAATTGGATTGAATCTCTGGTTGTTATAAAATTAATGGGGTTACCAATACCATGATGGTGAACTTCATCTCCCCACTTAATTCTCAGAAATATTGAGCAAACAATATAAACATGAAAGTAGAGACAACAATTTAAGAACATTTTACATAATGAATAGGACTTCTATAAATAGATAACTCAAATTGACATATTTAGAACACTTCGGAGACACTGTTGGTACCTTGCGTGACCGTGATTATTTTGAGTTTTGAATACATGTAATTCGCTGCACTAAATTTTCTTCCCCCACCATTTTGAATCAATGGTTCAAGGTCGCTGCGGATGCACGAGTGAGAGTTGAAACTATACGACTGGAGGAGG